GTAGCAGATACATATAAGTGTTTGTTACTATAAGCAAATCATAGAATTTTTTTTCTCTCTCATTTATATTTTTAACCCGCTAACATGGGTGATGAAGAAGAATGGTCCATTCAAATGGTGTCCATCCTTAGTGTGGGGTAGGTATTGCGCGGTATGCAGTATCGTGTACTTGACGGTGCATGCCTCACACCAAGGGACATGTTCCTACTTAATGATTATCACACTACCCAGACCTATCCTTTCTTCGGCTTTTTACAACTTTCTAGAGTGGGTCAGCGAGGTTACGTAGGGCTTTCTCCTGTCAGACCTACCCTTGAAGGGGCAAGTCAAAAGACTACCCATTAAAACTCATCTATGTCTCTCTCTAGGGTAGCTCGGGAACAGCCAAAATAATCTTTTCCCCTCCATTCAACCCATTTCGGACCCCTTGAGGGGGTCCCTTTGCGGGTTAGGGATAACACTCAGGAACACTTCTTACCCCTCAGATATAACGAGAACGTGCAACGATCAGTCGGCCCTCAAACCTTTCTATAGACCAGTCGTCACGTGGATAAACTTTCATACGTTGACATTTGCCTATTTGCCTTTATAAAAATTGCCTAGATGGATCTGTGTGAGTGCAATAACAATATGTTTACGGACTTGTGAAAAGATGTGTAATACCGGGTCATTGTACGAAATTCTCTTTATTGGGCGACCAGACTTATGGCTGTCTCCGTCAAGTATTCAGACTTGTTTTGAATTGAAGTAACCTACTTGGATTAAGTGGGCTGATTTTCATCAATATACTTAAAGTTTGTTTAATGAATATTAATATAAATAACAATTAGGCTTAGGCATGCATTAAAGTTTGAAAAAAAGACGTTATTTTGCTGAAGTTCATTGCTATTATCGCGAAACTATGATATCTAACTTATTAAGTTTTATTACCTTCTAATGAGTCTAGGATGATGATCATTCATTTGTTATTTGGTCCCCATGAACATCGAAATGTAACTTATTTGAAAGTTATTATATTTGATACCACCTTTTTTTAATCGAAATAGTAAGAAATAACGAACTGTTAATAGTCAACACCTATTATTTTAGACATTGTTCACGTAAACAGTCAGCGGCCGATAAAACGTTTGGTATCAGTCTGAACAATCCCATATTTTTTTATAAATTAAATCAACGTGCCTATCTTTTTTGAATACTTAATTCCGTAAAACATTGTCGTAATAATGACAAGGTTGTTTTAAAAGTTCGCTACTCACTTGTATTGTAGCTATTAATGTTGCTAATTTGTAAACTTCAGGAAATGTGGTTGTTAAATTATTTGTATGTAAATTTTGAACGCTAGCCAATTGAAACTATCATAATACTTTAAGGTAATATACCTTATTATTAGTTAAATCAAATCCGGACATACACATTTTTTGTATTTTGTATTTTGTTTTTTTTTTAATGACATTCTTATTCGTATCACCAGCATAGAGTAGGAAGAACAGCGCAAAGCTATTATTTTTAAAAAATCACGGCAAATGACTACGTGATTAGATTGATCAATGATTTTACAACTTAATTACTTGCGCTGTGAAAAGTAATCTTAATAAAGAAACATAATATTTTGTCATGAAAAGAAAACATTTAACATGTTCCGATCATCGCCATTTATTTGTCAAAACTACACACTAATACTGAAAATTGAAATGTCAACTAAACCACAGAAAAATAACAACCTAAATTATTATACCTAATGGTTAATTATATTTTCACGCGCACTCTTCTCACTAAACAGAACTATTTTTAGCACTTGTATAAAAAAAAAAACATATATGCCCTGTTATCTTTTTTCTTAATTAAAAAAACAACCAATATCCTCATATTTATGGACACGAAACGTCTAAAAAATAAAACAGTCTTTCAAAAATACAGGCGCTAAAACCGTTGAAAGTATTTTTATTAAATGAGCCTGAATTAAGATAACCATCGCACTTGAACATCAAAATTATTCCGCCAATGTCTCGACAAATACGGGACGTTGGCAGAATATCTATTGAAAACGGGAAAAGTGTTTACTTTGTATACGCCAACAGGGTCAAAGATACGTTCACCTTCCGTCTGGAAGTCTTAGTAAATAATCTTTTAAATGCCTTCTTCGCTAAAAGAATTTAATTTATATTATTCCTCCATTAAAAATTCTGAGTTTGTTACCTCGACAACTATATTCTTTGAACCGGTAAATGTCTATTATTATTTATTAAATTTATCAAAGCATTAGTTCTAGTATTTTCATTACCAAACATTATTTCTTCAACATTTTTAATATCCAACCTACACTTAAGATTCCTGTTTTGTAGTATTCCCTAAGTATAAATGTAAATGCCTTTTTTCTATCCTGGGATCAATCCTTCAGATCTGAATAATTCAACAGCACTGTGTAGATTCAAGATTAGGTGTCCATAATAAATCAATGTTCATTCTTAAGAGAAAATGTAATCAATAAAAAATATTGCATTTACTTATTGGTATTAATCTAAGCAGAAATCGAGCTACCTATGTTATCATCGTTTGGCTTTAATATCCCCACTGGTAGAGCAAAGTCTTTGAATAGGATGTGGAGAATGGGCCGATAGCACAGAACATAGAAACCTCTTTTCTGTGTTCTATGACTAGAACCCACCACCTTATAAATAAGTATATCAGTATAACATTGTCAACGCAAAATTGATAAAATACAATTAAATAAAACAAATTTTCATCTTAATCAAAAGTTTAAAATATTTGTAAAAATATTTCTTTCGGCTATTTGGCAGAATTGTCTAAAAAATGATGAAAATACACTTACTACTAGCTATAAGTAAAAAATGCTTGAAAAATTCGTCAGTCCTGTGAGATCCTGGTTATCTCAGTGGTTAAAGCAGTCGCTCGGATTCCAAAAGGTCGTGGTTCTGAGTCTCTTCACGGAGTACTGGGTCTGACGGATTTTTTAAGCATAATTAATTAGAGTAGCTCGGTGGCGTAGTGGATAAGCGCCGCGGCCCGCGATCGTAATCGTTAATCAACTTTCGCAAGGGTCGGTCACGGGATGGGTGACCAAAAATTATTATCTCGAGCTACTCCGTGCTTCGGAAGGCACGTTAAGCCGATGGTCCCGGCTGCATTTGCATTCGTTAATACCCTCCAATCCGCATTGGGCCAGCGTGGAGGGTCATTACCCATCCTCCTTAACCATCCATAAGGAAGGCCTGAGCCCCTGCAGTGGGGACGTAAAAGGGCTGATGATATGATATAATTAATTAATTAAGAATATTTTCTAGTAAAGCATTGTGTAAATACAAAATTAATAAAATATAATAAATATTTCTTATTTCATTTAAATTTTAACATAATTATTATATAGTCAGTATTTTAGCTAAATTACTTCGGTAATGTAGTGTGCTGATATGTCAATAAATCAGAATTCATCCAAATAAAAAAATATATATAAATAAAATCTCTTCATCTGAATTTTATACACTTATCTGCATTTATTTTAATATTAATATATTAATGATGAAGTGACTTCACCAAAGGCTCGAATACTTATCTAATTCTCATTCAATTTTCTAGTTCATAACAAATTGCTTACGAGTGCTTCTTTTGAAAATTAATCAAGCGAAGATTTGTTTTCTTATCTTAAATATGTTTTTCACACCTGTTTGAAGCAAAGCTTTTGATATTTATTTATTCAAGATTAAATAAATGTCAATTATGAATCAGAATTCATCCATTAGATTTATTTTATTGGATTTACATAACGTAATCTAAATTGAGTAACAAATGAAGGTAAAATATACCCTAAGCCGTATTGCTTTGAATTGAACTCATGAAATCATTTTCGATGAATTGTTTATTATTTTTATTTGAAATATGTTTTTTCGTAAAATAGGTTGAAGTAGGTAAGGCTTTTTTATGTTGTCCAGCAATTGTTAAGTTTTGATTTTGACCGCGTTTATGGAGTGTTTCATAAAATAAAGTTACACAGTTGGGCCAAGCAATAAATGAATTAAAAACTGAAAACTTGTTTAACAGAGAATAAAGTTTTATTAACAATTTGCTTTTGATCTTACGAACCAAATTATACCGCGAAGCAAAATGGTACAATGCCATCTTTGATCGAAAATGTGAAAAAAACTTATATGATTCGTTTATTGTTTTTTACCAAAATACAATGAAATTAACTTATGTAGATTGGATAATTATATAACATAAATTTAGTCAAAGGAAAAACCGACATTGCAATCTATCCCATATTACATAGACCAATCCTGATTGATCTGCTGACAGATAATCTGTTAGCTTGACAAAACATTGCGAACTGAACTTTGGTGTATAGATTTAAGCTTCAGTAATGCCGCAGCAAACGGTAACACTACGGGCTCAAACTATAGGCAAAATGCGCGGAAGTAATACGCGGAAAATTATAAAAAACAATTATTATAAATAACTAATCATTGTTAGACAGCGAAAGATACAGAGCTTAGGTCTTAAGAAAAGTAGCTAAAGCCTTCGTATCTGAGACAACGAAGGTCCCATTCACAACATCCAAGAAGTTATTTAAAAAAATGTTTTATTGAGAGGATTTAACATAACAAATAGTTAAGATGCCCTTTTAAACTACCCATCCAGGTACTCATTTTTGTCACTTTATATTCGGGACTGAAATTATTATTAACAGAATTCTATGACAGTGGTTAGAGCTTGGTTAGAGTAGTGGTTACAAAAGTTCTGAGAATTCATTTTTATATTTAAAAAAATATTCAAAAGATCAAAGTTGCTATTACCCTGGTTATTGCCGTCGCATTTGATGCTGCCGTTTTAATTTCAAGTTATCAGACTACTATGACTTTAATTAAAATATATGAGTGAGAAGATTGTAGCGAGCTTTATCCCATCAAAAGAATCCATCAAGAATCTTAACTAAGGTAAACGACCTCGAATTCGTTTCTTAAAAAAAAATATTTTTCTTGTTGCAGATTTACACGGTGATTTCTGACAAATTAGTTGGAATACTGTTGCGGTCTAGAAAACATCAGCTAACATACTTCGAGGGAGAAGTTCTATTTCAGGTAAAATTCCATAAATTAAATTGTTACCGAATTCCTATCGACATTTACCCGACGTCTCGAATGCGATCCCAAACTGAAACAATTTTATATTATCGTTTTTGATTACAAAACTTTTGTAATATTATGAAGAACATAATATTGAGTACTGACATTTGCCCGAGACTTCGTCTGCGTATACCTAGCTATTTTCGTCAACCATTTTTATTGGTATAAACTCGGTGAAATATTAAGCTTTCATCTTCCATTCTAATCAAATTCATATTAAAGCGGTCGGAGAGTACGTAACGGTACACTGAGACGTACTGAGGAAAATACTATGGAAATTTCTAAGCACAGTTATAATGTAACTGAGAACTGTGTACTATAGGGTAAAATAAGAAACATAATGATTTACAAAAAAATATTGTCACTCATTTTCTGTCTTTTTTCCCACATTATATACACTCCACTGCAAATGCATTCAGTGGTTTGACCTTCCCAGAAAGTCATACTATTTCTGTTTGAAATTTCAATAAAATTAGTAATTCAAATATAGACAGACAGATTTAATTTCGCATTTATATATATCATATAAAGATAAGGATGTAGATTAGATAATTAACGTTAAAACAAAGCATGATCTCAAAGTTAGCTTCAAAGTCACAAACAAAAGCTAATTATAAGGAAATTGCTCTAGATATCATCTCCCTAGAACAAAGAAAAATAGGTTATGATGAAATTTTATATAATAACAGATCAGTTGAAAGTTTTTAGTTGAAAATTTGTCCCTCAAAGGTCGGTAGGCGCTTGTAGCTCCTCTGGTGTTGCAGGTGTCCATGGGCGGGGCGGTAATCACTCACCATCAGGTGATCCGTCTGCTCGTCTGCCCCCTACCCGATAAAAAAAAAAGTTTGTTGTCAAAATGAGAACACAAAATATACTTATAGCCATGTGGAGCAAAAATGCACACTTTCAGTCTTAAATTAGTACATCAATTAGCAATGTTATGGCGATATTTAGTTTTATGTTACTACTTTCACGTGACTTTTTTGTCGATAAACGACTAAGTAGGTAACACTGTTATCAAATCCATAATTTTCAGTCTTTATCATTCGTTCGTCCTTATTAAAGTACTAAAATGAATCAAATTGTCGCCATAACATTGCTAAGTTCTTATGCCTAAACTTATGCATATCTGGACGATTAGGCGGTTACACACCAGAATTGATCTATGCTATGCTTAGACAGACAGACAGACCAAGCCTGATTCATCAGTGGACGTTTGAAAGTCGAGCTGAAAGTTCTAACTAATTACGTAGTATTTAAGGACTAAGATAACAAGTGGGTAATAATAACTTACTTTTTACTGCAACAGTAAAGGAAACAAAATGCAATGTAAAATAATAACAGCCTAATAAGACAGGACATTAGGTAAACTAATAATATTTACTTCCTTAAACCAAAACATGTTATGTTCCTTACTCTAGAATAATGTAATTTAAGAGAGTAAGTGTGAAAATCATTCAGGCGTTATTATACACTTGGTGTGTGTGTGTGTGTGAAAAAGTACTGTACCAAAATACACGAGTACTTTGATGGTTTTGTGAAATAAAAATAGTTGTGAGGGTTGGTGGATATCTATAACGAGAAATCTGTAGAGTTTCCATTGAAACTTCTATTGAAGTATTACGTATATACGTTAAGGACTGATGGATCTACAGTGCCAGCTTCAATAATGTCGTGCGATATATTTATTGGTTTGACATTACGTAACCGATTATACACATATGATCGTTCGTAAGATTTGAACCAAGTTTAATATGAATATCCTGAGATAAACTTCTTTCTTTTTCACATATTTCGAAATCAGGATAATCCACACGCAAATAGATTAATAGATTAGTATAGATTTAAAACTTTAACAACATAAAACGATAGTTTTAAAAATGTTTTATCGTTTTTATGAATAATTTATATAATTCACTTATAACGTCAATAATTAAAATCGATCATAATCTTTGCCCGATAGATATGTAATATGATATACGAAGCTATATTTTCATTTAGCTTAGAAAAATATGTCGAACGAAATCTGAAGTAGGTGGGTATGTATTTTTTCTGTCTAATGAACGTACACGTGCCATTCGCAACCATTCGCAATATAGCGTACTGATTTTTTAGTTCTGTAATAAAAGCAGCTGTGAACTCTACGTATATAGTTTCAGTTGAATAAAACCTATGCGATATGCTTAATATTGGGTAAAAGCTTCTAGATATGTTGTCTGTTAGAGGCTGTTACTTCACAATAAAAGTGAAGGGTAGTTTGAATTTTATAATTTAACTCATTTCTCATAAGTAAACTAAAATACCAGTTTTGGTTGCTGGCAACATTTGATTAATTTAAGCATCTAAGTATTTATCAGTAAGACGTTATATAATCGAATAATGTCGTATTTATACTGATCTATGATGTACATCATCAGTCCTGTTACGTCTCCCTCGCAGAGGCTTAGGCTTTCCTTATAGCTGGTTAAGAAAGATGGGCAGTAGCCCTCCACACTGGCTCAATGCGGATTGGAGGATATTAAAGACTGCAAATGCAGCCGGGATCAACGGTTTAAAGTGCCTTCCGAATCACGGAGTATCTCGAGAGAAATTTTTGGTCACCCATTCCGTGACCGGCCCTTGCGAAAATTGCTTAAGAACAACATTCGCGGGTCGCGGCGCTTATCCATTATGCCACCGAGCTACCCATGACTCACGATGACGTACGCATGCGACAATTTTTTTTATCTGTCCGACAAGTAGTTTATTGATGAATATTAAACACATACCTTTTTATTTTTTGCTTAATCAGTAAATAACGGCGATACTTTGAGTTCAAATGACGCGTGACGTCACACTTTTACATTTTCTACATAGTTGTGACGTAGCGAGCCTTAAAAACAACTTTAATGCTTTTATCGAAACCATTACTTGTTAAATTGTAGCTTAAAAAGTACCTATTTAAAAAATCTATTATGAAACTGATGGACAAAATAGAACTTCTTTTTTTTTACCCATTCATTTCCTTATTTCCGTTCCTCCTTTCATTATTTTATTGACAATAGAGATGAGCGCACAGAGTTCGCCCGCTCTCCGAGTGCTATAACCTCGTCCACCAGTGTAACAAAGCCATAAAGATATTTCACAATAAAATATTATGCGTCAGGTTACCGCATATGCCAAATTTTCACGCTTCCATTTAAACTCTAATCTCAATTAAGACATAAAATCGAATGGAGAATTTTGACAGATTTATATAACCTGACCTGCTGTACAAACCATTGTACCAACTATAGACAAAGCAAATAAAAAAAACAGTGAGGAAATTAAAGTCAGACAATAATGATAGTTATTATTTTAATTTCAGAAACGTGATGACGATGTACCCATATTTCTAATGCAGCCAATCGATGATATTAGAACTTATTGCAACAACAGAGCACTACAAGCGAGAAGATCTGTATCACCGATGCCAAACTAGACAATATTAGCTAAGATTATACCTACACTAACATCGTCGTTTAAGATTGTTACTAATTACAATTAAGTAAATTAACATCACTAAATAAAATAGGGATGACGATTGATTTCTGTTTGTTCGTCGGTCAGGTAGATTAATGGAGAACATTAAACAAGTATATTATCATAATACAATCCAATTCACAGCACAGTAAATACTCTTATTCCACTTTTAACTTTTAACGACTTAACACCTCGATGGTTATCCAACGACTGCCGAGCTCCTGACTCAATAGTCAACTGTTTCAACCCCACCACTCTCAATCCTTTCGCCGGAAGTTGTCACAAAAGAGTGACGGGGTCGAGTAGTGTTGCCATTGAAGAAAAATAAAACTACCTTTTATAAAATGATTACAATATTTTTTATTTTTTGCGTAATCAATAAATTACGGCGATACGTTGAGTTGAAATGTCGCATGGTGTCCCGCTTTTGTATATTTTCTAAAAACTGTGACGTTTCGAGCCCCCATCCCTCAACTTTAATGCCTATCATCTAAGCCATTTCTTGTTTAAAGTGAAGCAAAAAAATTCGTGACCAATATTTTTCTATTATATGATTGACGGACTAAACAGATTTGTTTTCTTTTTTATCCAGTTGTCATCCCTATTGTCAGAGAAAAATTAATTTAAATACATTTGATTAAGCATATTTGACAACAAGTTAAACCAAAGATCATATAAGTCTCCTTGTATCGGATAATTTATCGAGGATATTAATAATTTTACGTAACGTTAAGTCTCTTTGATCGTAATACCTACTGAATAAAATCTAGATAAATACTTTATTACCGATGTACTAAAATATATTGGTAGCAATTTGGTTACGTGTTAAGCTCCTCTAAACTATACTAAGTAATAGAACTGTAGTTTTGGTTTTAGTTTAGAGTATAGACAAACCTATTCTATTGCCATGTGTAAGTTAAGAAATAAAGGACATACTCCTGTTAACTATAGTACTTATAATAAATGTCCTCCTGTCAGTCCAATCACAGAATTGAAAACGAACTGACATTATTCAGTACTAAATTTAGTCTAGTTTGTGTCAACAAAATTGCTACCATTGTATTTGGACTAAATGTAATTTATCCTGTTATGTATAAGGGAATGTAATTTTGAAAGGAAATTGGTATTTTTCATCATTAGAATATCATAAAAAAATACTAATAATAATATAAGGTTGTCAACTTACAATCTTAGATAATATTTTTAATATTTTGAGTAAATCTGATAAAAGTGTTTTAGTCTCCGTTGCTCACTCATTTTTTAATAAATATATTACATATATATTTTTTAGATATAAATGAGATAGAAATAAGGATTTATTGCTGGATAATTTCCTTTTACTATTTATGTATTATACACAGTAAGATAAAAGTTCCGACTTAGAAATAAAATATAATTGATTTTATATTGATATAAATTCAACCATAATAGGTATATAAGACCGAGCTATTTTGCGTAAACCGTAAAAAACTTATCTTTATCATATCTTGAACTGCCACTCTATTGAAGCGATTACAAGATTTTGTAAACAAGTTTGCATATTGATTGATATTAATATAACCTGAACTCCGTAATGGCATGGCAACAAAATCGTTTTAATTCGACATTTTTCATTTGCTTTAATGATGCTAGTTACAGAGATATTTTTTCTTTGTAAACGGTGCGGTGCGATGCCGCGTGGGAGGTCGTTCTAATTAGCTACGACTTTACGAATAAATGATGTGATTTAGTTGTAAAAGGACACACACGTGAATCTATATAAAGTATTCTTATTAAAGTTGATACGTCATCACGTGAACGCAAGAAATGTTTAATAACTATCTATTATGATGGGTTTTATTGTAAGATAATGTAATAATAGCTAAACAACCCTCGAGTATCATAATAACAACAATTAGTGGCGTTAGATAAGTTAGTGGTTATGCCAGCTATCATTGCCAACTCTTGTTGCATGGACCCTAAAAGTCCGCAGAATCGTAGCAAGTCGAATGTAAGCCAGCGTAATTATAATAATATTTTTATATAATATATATAATAATATTTATTAGATCACAACAAAATACATGATTTTCGTTATATCTAAGCTTATCATATACTGTACCTAATTAATTTGCATCTGCTGCTGAACTGAGTTGATACCCGTCTTTCAGCATACAGCGCCTCAAAACCTCAGATTCTTGAAATTACTTAGTATATATTAAGCAGATAAGCGACACTGAATTTAAGTTACCTAACTTATCTTAACTTATAGTGTTATCCTCTCGGTGAGTAGAATGATAATGACTGAGTGCGTGTGAGAGGGTGAGTAAGTTGAGTAGTAAATTATAAAACTTAAAATTCCAAACACCATAAAACATTTTTACCGCGAGAAACAGTTACCATTAAACTAATCAGTCTCGGAGAGCAAAAAGCGCACCACTATGTTACGGCAACACTGTAAAATCGGTGAGAAAGCCATTTGACCAGTCAGTATATAACCACTGGCCAGTTTAACAGGTCAGAGATATAGAGGGTTATTTATTAGGTAATCACGTTTATTAAATTTTCAGTTTCATCATAACTTAATTTTTTTATCCAACATGATATTATTCTTTTCACCTCATTTTTATTTAACGGGTAAATGTTATGTATTTTATTAATTTTGTTATACATAAATGGGCCTAAAAATTATAATTAAAATGTCACTCATTTAGTTGCAAGAAGAATACATTAAATACATCCATTGTGTATTTATATATAGTGTCCTCTTGATAAAATATTGCCACTTTTATTGCTTTTTTAATAATAAGGGAATCCTTTGAGTACTTGATTAACTAGAATTTCGTGAACCAGAAGAGATTAGGAAACGCTCCGTTAAAAAACCATGCAAATCATTTTTTTCTTTGCACGACGAGATCGTATTGTTTGCTAATTCGACCGTTAGCCAATTACGACGTTCCTTTAGCAAATAATAGACAGGCGAGCAAATATCCGCACCAATGGACCGGCATCGATACGTTCCCTTTCAATAGATATTGATCTCAGATAAAGACGCTCTGGATTACAAGATAGAAAAAAGAACTGTTTAAATTCGAAATTTCAAAGTAACTTTGCCTGACTATTATTCCAAATACCTAGTTTGAGTCATTTTAATTGGGTACATTGTTTAAGAAATTAGGTATATTTTTGTTACTATGTTTGTTTCTCAAACATATAATAATACCTAAGATACACTACCATAGTAAATCATTAATTAGAAGATACATCATAAAGCAATGTATTAAAAACGCTATGTGTAAAATTGCTATGGAAACATAGCATTGCTTTATATTTAAATTAGTACAATTAAGTTATATAATTTTAAATAGTTAAATGATAAATTTTCTTGTCGGAACTTTGTCTTCTTAATAACATGTATAGAGGTAAATTTTAGGAACAGTGCCATTTCATAACTCGACTATGCAACTAAGATTAACCTATTAATTAACGAAATTTTCTCAAATATAAAGAGTGTATGTATAAATGTAAAAAAATACTAACACTACTAAAAGAGTAACATGTAGTTAAATATTATGAAAACGAGGGACCTTATATTTAGATTTTTACGTTTCGTTCTCTAATTAGTGACATCAGACATTTTACACTCCGCTTTTTCGCTGCAATTCAGATTGCAATATTAGTTATGAACACGATGTGTTGTTCCAATTAAAATGCAGACGACTAAAATTTAAAGATACATTTATGCGAAAATAAAATATTTTTATGTTAAATAATGTTTCAAGTTCTATTTTGTGAATTAAAGTTTTATTTTCTTTGTTTTCTAGTCATGATATATAATGGGTTATTTATAGTTTAAAATAATAATGTACAATGTATATATTTTAAATAAGTATCTAATCTAATCTAAGTTTACCTGTATATGTATTTTTTTTTCATCAATGTACATTTTTTTTGTTATATTATCGTAAGTAGAACATATTCACGGATATCTTTTAAATGAAGTTTTAAAACTGATATTTTTTATATTATTTTTTTAATGTAATTTAAACAAACTATAGATTATATATTGAACAAAGTCAGTTGTAAGCCTCCCAGATATTTATTATATGCAGTTACGTGTTTACAGACACCATTATTTTTTTTTATCTCGGATGTTAGCAGGTTAAAAAAAGAGAGAAAACACGTTATCTCATAGTAACGATCACAATATTAAAATCTGTACATTGTATACATTTTTCCTGTATACATTAATCTATATTTTGTAATGATATATTGAAAATGGATATTTTTTACAAAATTTTGATGATCCATTGTTTTTCCGTAAATGTTATTAGCTACCGTGGCCTTAGCTTAATGTTATTTTTTCTTTCGACTTTTTGATATATCATTTTTCTCGCTCACACAAAGAAACTTTAAATTTTAATTTTTGTGTACCTTTTTCTTAGTCTTTGGAAAACTTATATTATTAGAAGGATTGAGGGTTTGTTTTGGACTCCAATATTGTAATAATGAATACATTATCAAATAAGTATTATACTTTTTATCAGTCTACATAAAATATTCTTTTCAGGTCATTTATAATATTGCTATCTAATTCTAAAATAAATATTGATGTTACAATACACTGTGTCTAAAAGTTGTGCTGTGTTTTTATTAAGAATTGAACTTGTAAAAATATAGTCGTTTTATTATAATATGCTTTGTTTCAATTAGTATTTATAAATGTAGAGATTTACTTCAGCCTTCAAAATGTGCCTTTCATGTATACCCCTATTAACTGGAAATTGAAACGGTTGTTTATTAACAAACAGCTCTGTTCACGTCATTCTAATTTCACTTTCGATTCGAGTGAAAAAGACAAAAACCTGTTTAATATACAATGCCTTTTCATTGCTAATTTGTAAAGCATATAACACATAAAAAAGTAGAGGTATATTCAAGTATTTAAAACATACTATTATATGTAACATTAAAAACTAT